AAATAACATAATTTTTTTTTTCTACATTAAACGTGAGAGATAATTATTAAATGCAATAATTATGTGATAAGCATGTATTGATTTGTAATAGCCAAGGATAGAGCCATGAAGGTCCGAGTGGTGGCTCATGCCCCCAGTGACTTTGGCAAAATTCCAATGTTATCCTTTTACTCTAGGTTTTTGACAGTAACATTTTTTTTGTTTTAATCAATATAGCCAAAATGCAAGCATTATTCACCACTTTCATTTTATTTTATGTAACATCAACTATATTTTAATTCATTTCTTTTTTTCTTTTTTATCGTGTGAATAGAATATACCAATAAAAAAGTTTTTATATATTATATATCGTATAATAAAAGATGATTGATTGAAAGTTTATTTTAAATCACCCAATCATCTTTTGCCACATAAGTTTGTGAAAAAAAAGTTTGTATAAAAAGGTTGTGAGAGTAGTACTACTCATATTATAATTTAAAAATTATTTTTTTCTCATTTTTGTTCTAATTTCTTTCTTTTGACTCTTATCCTCGATAAAATCAAATCTTAGCTCCACCACTTTAAACAATATTGTGGTGTCATATATACATTTTAACTTGGATATCACTTCCGTAATATTGAGTTTTTTTTTTTTGATAACTGGAGTGTTTGAGCAGTTTGTGCAAACCTCAATTAATCTAGAATCCATTAAATCTTATGAAGTCAAAAAATTAAATAAATCATAATATAATAAATGGCCTTAAAATTTAAACCTAAAACCTCAATAAAATGAAGAATCTCCTTGTCCGCCTTAAGAATCCAAAACATAATATTTAGTTGCCAACTTTCTCAATCCAAAGACATGTACAATACAAATCTACATAAATTACACGTGTGACCCTATCAAATCGCCCTCAATTAAGTTGGCAAACAAGAATGGACTACACACACCCGAAAACAGTAAAAACGACCTAACACTCTACTAGTGGTCTAGTACAACTACAAAATGGTCAAAGTAAAACCAAAGAAAATAATTTCATTGAATTCATAGTATGCTCTCAAATTCGGTCACAATTAATTACATAAGGTCATTTTTTAAAAACTAATTTTTTATTTTTAATGGGGTTAGGTCACAGAGCAATTCTCAGTGACAAAGAACCGTGGCCCCACCAAAGATACGGTCGCGGCAGGTTTGAGCGAAGCCTAGGGCGGTCAATGCGGAGCCAAAGAGATTTAGATTGATGCCTCCGTTTCTCCTCTTCCACGCGCGCCCTTTTCCCTTCACGCTCCAACGACAGGGAGTCTTGTGGTTGGGAGTTGGAGTGGACGCGGGAGAGGGAGCGTGGGAGGAGAGGGGAAGATGTCGTTGGTAGAGGACGCAGTGCCCCGCAATTCGTGCGTGCGCGTAAGGCTTTTTTTTATTTTAATTTTTATGAGAAACGATGCACCGACTCACTGCCTAAGCACGTGCGCACGTGACCTCGTTAATCTGAATTGTATGAATATATTCTCTGTGTTTACTGTTTAATTTGTTGATGATAATTACTTCCATTTTATTTTTTTAATATACGGAGTGCTTGCTTTTCGGGAAGTGAATTGAGCACTCCATCTTTTGGTATTCACTACACTATCCTGTTTGTGAAAAGACAATTATACCCACCTTCCTGCTATTTGAGTTTTTTTTTTTTTAAATATACATATTGGTAGTATAAGATTTGTAAAGAAATAATCGAAATAGACAACTAATTAAATTTGTATAACATTATATTCATTAGTAAACTATCAATTTCGTCAAAAATATATTTGATAATATTTCTAATTAAAGAATTAACCATCGATCCTTCACCTTTACAATTATAATAAAATTAAAGTTTTGATAAAATTTAAACATTCTACCTTACTAAGAATATTCGATAAAATCATTTTACCAACATGATTTGTATTTATAATATACTTGAAAGGAGTAACATTAGATATTAGTTGATTTCAAATAGAGATAATTACAATTTTTTTGAATGATATTTATAATTAGAATTTTTCTCATTATTTTCCCATAATTTTATACAGAAATTAGTGAAAATTAGTTGAAAAAGTAAAATTATAAGAAAGAGAAGGGCAGTTTTGGTATTGGGCATTAGCTTAAGGAAGAAGGTAGGCCAGAGAAGAGAGTTAAAATAAGAAGCGTACAAAAAGATTATGATTAGGCTTAAATATTTGCCCTTACGAACTGACATATCAAGAATATGATAATCATATTACTGAAAATAAAATAATAAATCCAAATCTAATTTTCAGTATACTTTGACCATTCAAGATTCCGTGCCTCACCAATTCTCTTTGTTTTTTTTAATTAATTTAATCCAACAAAATCATTTTACATCACATGTCTTTGCTTCTTAATCCACTTTACCAATTAACCGTTGTCTTTAGCGGTAAACAGTAATTATAAATTACCTTACAGTAACGATCGGCTAACAACCAATCTCATAAAATTTCGGTCATAATCTCAAAATGATAGTTTGTTATTGGTCAACTTATAATAGATTTTATCTATAGAATTATGAATTGAAAAATTATGAACTACTACACACGGTTGTAATAGAAAGTTTATAAAATTGAATTCTGAGATAATAAAAATTATTTATTATTTATTTTTATATAAAATATATATCCAAATAATCTTAAAACATTCATGAAGACCACTCTTTTATTACATATATATAAATATAAGGGTATTTTAAACCATAAAGAGATATTTAAATAGTATTTAGAAAATTAACAGATTATTGCTAACATTCATATTCTATAAATGTTAGATGAGTTTTATCATGAATAGCTCCCAAAATAATTGAAGTATGTATTTTAATATTATTTGGACCTTTTTAATGTGAAGATAATGATACATAAATTATTTTTGTGGTCATAAATGTAAAGTAAATGTCATTAAAAGTGTTGCTAAATGTGCTACTCTTGCAACCAAAGATTGTGCTTCAAAAAGCTAACACTCAGCCTCTTTTATTGAATAATGTAGCAAAGAAATCTAAAAGTTTACGAATTGTTTACAAAATCCTCTTTCTAAACACCTTTTAAGAACACACTAATGACTTGATGAAATGTTTCCCCCAAAAAGAATATTATAACCCAAACATTTTTTTTATTCACCATAACTTTAGTTAAAAGTGTAATATATATATACGTGACCAATAATATTATCAACATTTTTTTAGTATAAAGTTTTTTATGCATCATGTTGTAATATGGGTAACTAATGAGAATATGCCACATCTAAACCCTAAGGGATTGGCCTAGCGGTAAAAAAAGTTAGCTCGTTTTATTCACTTCTTGAGTTCGAATATTGGGATCGCCCATCACATTTGTGACGTACTTTGGAATATTAAGTTTGTAGGGTATTCAATGGGTTCTGGAGACTAATATAAGTGCATACAAACTGGTCTGAACACCTCGATCATTAAAAAAAAAAATAAAAAAAATGCCACATCTGTTTTTTCATTGATCAATTGTATTGTAACAAGATGTATAGAGATATAATTAGAGTATGATATATCAGTATGGATGAAATATGCTTACTTCCTTATAGACCAGTTGTATTGCAATATAATGTATAAGAATATTTTTCTTGAGTTCATAGTTTATTGTTTGTATTGGGTATATAAGTGAATAAATTAGAAGTTAGATTTGAAAGCTTTATATGCTTCTAGGTTACCTCTTGTAGAAGTAATGGTTTTATCAAGGGGCCTTTATATTGATACAGTTTTAAGTAGCTTTTTGGATGGTTTACTTTCTCTTGTTGCTCTTTCATTAAGCACTATTTTTAACTACATTATTGCTCCCATTGTGGTTAAAAACATTGCTTTCACCTCCACCATTTTGATGCAATGTTAAAGCATTTTGAGATTAATGACATAAAAATTGTTCAAGGATACAAGCATGGACTTTCCAAACAGGGATTATGCTTATGCAATTAAATTACCTTCTCCCTTACCCAACCGGAAAAAAAAAAAAAATAGTGGAATATTTGGATATATGCTTAAATGAAAAACGATGTTATACATTATTCAGAATTCCCAACATGTTATGTTAACAATTCTCCACAAAATAGCGTTAAGTCGTAAAGAAAATCTATGGTACCACAATGATATGTTGATGAAACCAACCCTGAGTGATCAGTGATTTGATAGAGACTTTTGAGTGTATTACTCAAAATGTTTCTCCTCAGTTACTAATAAGGTGCCATTAGAGCTGTTAATCGATCAGTAATTTTAGGATCTCGGGAGATTAGTTGAGGTGGACGTAAACTATTGGGACACCACCCCCGCTTAAAAAAAATAAAAAAAATGGTATGCTGACATTGTATCTAATACACGTGTGCTAAGTAATTATTACATTTAATATCTATCTATCACAATTATTTAAAGACTGAGAAAGAGAAAAAAAAAAAATTAGATTGACATTTGACTCATTGAAGATGGTATGAATAATAATACTTCACTCATATAATGGTAGTGATATTTATTATTTAAGCATGGTATTATAAAGTTAAGCGGTAAGACTAGAAACTTACTTGTAATATTATATAGTATAATGTTACGTGTTACTAAGATATTGAGATTTAGAATTCAACACCTAGCATAACAATTCCCTAAGGTAGAGATTTATCCTTTAAAAAATTAAAGAAAGTGGTTGGAATGGGAGATCATGTGCTGGAATATTTCATCAAAAAAAAAAAAAAAAAAAAAAAAAAAGGAAAAGATTTTACAGTACAAGAACATAACCAGGTCAATGAAGATGAAACCAAACCAAACCAAACTATACTTAACCAGTCTAAGTTAAAATTCCCACCATAGGCGAAGGATTAAAATGTAATTTTTTCGCTTTTATCAAAGGACCACAACCATTTTCTTTTTCCTTCCCAGCTAATCATCTGTCTCCCTCTTTCTTACTGTTGTGTACTGTAGTGTTCTAGAGAGAAACAAAGAGAGAAAGAAGAAGAAGAAGATAAAAAGAGAGAAAAGGTAGGTTGTCCCCACTTGGGTTTTTAATTTAAAATATATATATATTTTTTTGCATGGTTAAAACAACACTTGCCAAACTCATCTCTTTTTTCTCATTCTCTGTGTCTTCTTTTTACCTGGCTGTTGTCAAGATTACTAAAGCTTGTTACTTTGTGATATAATTAAACCCAGAAAAGAATAGTAATCACTTAAAAAGCATTTTGTACTGTATTGCAATAAAGGAGAGAGAGAGAGAGAGAAGCAATTCAGCTTGGAGTTGGAGTTACACTTGCTTGCTTACATTTACATACAAGAAGAGCAGTGTTTTGAAAAGAAAATTTATAAAGACTAAGAAAAATTGTTGATAAATATATATATTTTGAGAGAGATAGAGGGGTCTGGAAAGAGAGAGATGGTGGGCTCAGGAGCAGGAGATAGGAGCAAAGAAGCAGTTGGGATGATGGCCCTTCATGAGGCCCTTAGAAGCGTATGTCTCAACACAGACTGGACTTATTCTGTCTTCTGGACTATTCGTCCTCGACCGTACTTCTCTCTTTACCTTCTCCTTTTTCTATCATTTCAATTTCTCTTTGTGTTTTCAGATGTTTACTCAACTGGGTTTGTTTTATATCTTAATTTGCAGGCGAGTCCGAGGTGGGAATGGCTGCAAGGTTGGAGACGATAACGGCAGCTTGTGAGTTTTCTTTTTCTTTACTTACTTTCTTGCGAGAATTTTTGCTTTGTTTCATTTGAGTAGTGAATAGAGATGTGAAATGGGTCAAATGAGAATTTAGCCCAAGTTAGCTTAGTAGTATTCCATAAATAATGCTAATTAAAGACGTGTTTTGAGTATTAAAACAAGTTTATGGTTGTTAATGGCAGATTGGTATGTATTAATTTGTGATTTACGAGTTAAATACTGATTTCTGGAATTCTGTGAAGGATGTTGATGTGGGAAGATGGGTTTTGCCGAGGAAGAGTTGCAGATTGTTTGGAAGAGATGGATGGTGAAGATCCTGTCAGAAAAGCATTCAGCAAAATGTCCATTCAATTATATAATTATGGAGAAGGGTGGGTACTGGGTAGGTGCTATTATTTTTTTTGGTTCAATTTCTCTCTCTGAATGTGCAAATAAAAAGTATAGTTGTTGCAGAAAAGTTATGGATAGAGTGAAAAAATGAGCAGAAATTGATTCTTCATCTGTTTTCTTTTGATTGGTGAATTAATTTATGTTTGGGCAGGTTAATGGGGAAGGTTGCTTCGGATAAGTGCCATAAATGGGTGTTCAAAGAGCCAACAGAATGTGAACCAAACATTTCCAACTACTGGCAGAGTTCTTTTGATGCTGTAAATAACTTCCCACAAATCAATATTTTATCTTTTTTAGAGCATGAATTTGGTGGCCACCATGTTTAGTTTTTAATTATTGATACTTAACCTTTTATTTTTGTTGTTATTAATTGCAGCTTCCTCCTGAATGGACTGATCAATTTGAGTCGGGTATTCAGGTCAGCACTCAAACAGTGTATTTTACTATTGTTAGTCTTTGGCTGTTTGCAAATTTCTTTCCTTTTTTGTAGTACTTAGACATTGTGGTGTTTCATTTTTTTTTCCTTTTTTAGACCATTGCTGTAATTCAAGCTGGCCACGGTCTACTGCAATTGGGTTCCTGCAAGATTGTAAGAAGGATTTGTTAATTAAGTTTTGAATGATTTAACTTTTTATTGAGTAATTTCATTTAAAATCTGCTATAATTATGTAAATATCGTAAGCGCAATAAAATGTCCATATGCAGATACCTGAAGACCTGCATTTTGTGCTAAGAATGAGGCATACATTTGAGTCTCTAGGCTATCAGTCTGGTTTCTATCTATCCCAGCTGTTTTCGTCGACTAGAAACAATTCTTCGTCGTCCTCGATTCCCTTGAAGCAATCTGCCATTCCAACTCGGCCTCCTCCTCCCCTCTTCAACTGGGGTCAGAGGCCAATTCCGTCTTCCACTTCGATGCTAGCATCACCCAATTTTCAGAATCCTGCTAGACTTGGATTCCCACAAACCAAAGATGAGACTCACATGTTTATCCTCCCTCATTCATCTGAAACACGAATGGAAGACATGATGGGAGAACATGAAAACGACATTAAGTGGCCTAATGGGTTGTCTTTCTTCAACGCTCTTACTGCAAGGCCTGATGATGCCAAGCTCTTGTTTAACCCTGAAAGCTTTGGAAACAAACCAGACCAAGGTCATCATCACCTCATTCTCGAGGGAAAAGATTTGAATCCGAATTCAGATGGCAGCGCAAACCCAAACGAGTTCTTAAGCTTGGACAGTCATCCAGAGAATGCAAGGAAGATGGACAACAAGTTTAAGAGGAGCTTTACTTTGCCTGCAAGGATGGCTTCATCATCTTCCTCAACATCAGTCGATCACCATCAACAACAACCGATGGAATATAGGAATCCGGAGGCGGGGATGTACAATGATGTTATGGAGACCTTCTTGGAATGAAGTTAGAAAAGTCAGTATTAGAGGGGAGAAATGGGTGAGAATTTGTATTGTAGGTAGGCAAGCTTTTGGTGGTTCTTTGTTGCTTAAATTATTGTGCTTGTTTTAATTTAGTGCCCTTTTCCATGTTGTGTTTCTTTTGTACTTTTCACAAATTTTCTAATCATTTGTTGTAGTTTATCCTAACATAAGTTTTACCATAAAATTTTCCTTTTTCTTTTTTTTCATGTTACCAAATTTTCTGGGATACTGGTACAATTTAGAATTTGTTCTTCCAGTGTGTTCGTTATATGTTGGCATGTTAGGTTGAGGCTAGGCCTAATTCAAATTTCAAACTTAAAAGGTTGAATAAGTTCCTTTCACCCATCAATCAAATCCTAGTTATGGCGGTTTCAACGGTACTGGAGAGTGGAACAAGGCTTCTTTTTCTTTGGGTTCAACCATTTGATACTTATTTTTCAACCCCCAATTTGCCTAATGCCTATAAGAGATAACTCAATGATATCAATAACAAAATTGAGTATAATATCATCAATTATGTCAATCCAATAGTTTGCAATGACTTAATCATAAGTGGAACATCAATCAAGATTGCAACTGTGGTGCTGCAGCTCGGAAGGCAGATAAACTTAGATGAAGTTAACCATCACTGGATAACCTGATGATAAAAGAGTAAAAAGAGGTCATTTTAGTAACTAATAGGGGTGGCCATTGGGACTGTTATCTGGTTGATAATTCCAGAACTCTGAAGGATTAGTTGAGGTGTGTGTGCAAACTGGTATTGTATCAATATTATCACAAATTGACACATGAACATCACATAAATATTAAATTAACTCAATGGTTACTAGAGCAAGGCCAGGAACTAATTCAAATTTAATGGATCTTCATGTTTTAAGCTTCTGGAAGTAGCTGAGAGACAAACAAAAAACATCAGGCTTCATGAATCTTTTGTTTGGTACCTTAAATTTAAGATTGCAGTTCAAACAAGAATAATAATTGAATTGAATTGATGGTAGAAAAGGACGGGTCCAATTATAAATTTGGGTCATTTACTTGTATTTATGTTATCCCAACATTTGGGCCCCAAGCTTGTTTGATGGCTCAACTGTGGGTCTAGTGAGCCTTTTTTGGCTTCAACCTCAATCATCTACCTCAAATTATTGACACTAATTATTGAGAAACTGACCATGTCAATCTTAAATTATAGCTCCCTAATTTAATTCATACCAACAATTAAAATTCAGTTAACTATAAATTATTTTAAATATAATTTTTAAGATGGCATCAAACCCACCTTCAACATTGTATCAAACACAACTTTAATGAAGTTGTAAAACATCGATATAAAAATTTAAACCCATTCACTAATGATTTAAGACATGAATATTATTTTAGAATAGAATATCAATCAATAACACAAACATTGGACAGCTACCTTTGGGTAGTCGAACGATTCGATAAGGTCTTTTGGGTGTATTACTCAGGAGATCTCGATCTCGAGTCTCTCATCAGGTGCTAATAGAGGTAGTCACTAGAGCTCTTACTCGATTAGTAGTTTCAGGTAGGGTGACTCTTAGTTCCAAAATCCCAGAAGATTAGTTGAGGTGTGCGTAAATTGGCCTAAACACCTTCTGCCATCAAAAAAAGAAAAAACGCAAGCATTAGACTTTAACTAAATAAAATTAAACTTAATCATAACTACTGTATATAGAGTTGCCAAACTTGATGCTTAATTACTTGAATAAGTAATGGAAGGACATAGATCCAAATGATTGTACAGGCTTTTTGCAGAAGAAAAACAGAAAATCCATAATTCTGTTGCAGCCAAAGTACATTTCTCAAGCTCTTCAACGATTATACTATCACAAAGCTTTCCAAGTACAAAAATAAAGCATTTTCAAACCATTACTCCATCTTGTAATTCTACAAAAATTTAGTAGACATTCAGGTAAGAGAGATGAGCTTCACTCCAGAAAATGACTATATATTTTCGATGAAAAAATATACAATTACTCAAAAATACATGCCAAAACAAGATACCAAACTATAATTTTATATGTCTTGCTTGCAAAATGTCATCTTTCGTGGATGGTTCCATGGCATGGCACTCTCTGCAAGCAAACAAAAACGACATGAAAAATCTCTTGCAGAGCCCTTGCGCCGCCGCCCTGTCACGGCTACTCCTCCTCCTTTCTGTACCTTGCGAAGCTGATCTATTTAATGATGATGAAGATGGTGATCTCAACCCATCTTTCAACACAGCTCCGCCGGCATTTCTCCTCTGCGAAGTCTCGCGTTTCAGCACTGCAGCAGGCACCGGCGTCAGATGTTGCCACCTCTGCGAAGATCCATACAGCTGAGCGGTGACGATTCTACTCGCTTTCGTCGCTTTGCATGCAGTGTTTTTGTTATTGTAATACAAGAATCTCCTCTCCGAATTGTCACTCGAGCTCGTTCTCGCGCTGCTGCAGCTACTGCTCCTGCTGTTAGTACTATTACTTCTCGACGACCTGAGCGAATCCTTGCTACTAACACTGCTCGTTCGACTTGTCGCACGAGATATACCAGCATTAATGTTGTCAGTAGACGGTCGTTGATCGCATGGGAAAGAGTGAGGCAAGAGGCGGCCGTTGAAGAAAAGATGATCAGCAGGTGAGTTTCTTGAAGGGTCTTGCGAGGGAGAGTCAGGAGTAAAGCAACCAAATTCAAAGTCAGAATCTTGGTCTTGATTTCGGGTACTAGGGAAGGAGAACAGCTCCCCGGAGCTCGACTTTTGGCGGCGGTTCTCCATTATTATTAAAGGGTGCGTTGTTCCTTGGTGGAGAGAGTGTAGTGAGGCTAATTGTGTGTTGATGATATATACAAGAAGAATTGGTAGTGGATGATGATATAGACAAAGTATGGTTTTGAGGGCCCTGCCCTGCCCTGTTGTCGACTGATTTTTGATAAGCTTTCTTGGTAGTGGTATAAATCATGTAGCCATATACTTGCCAACTCAACCTTAAATTAGCACATGCTATTGTTTGTTGGTGTTGTAATTGCCTCATTCCAAACCAGTATGTGTTAAATGATTTAGCTACTCCATTACTACCATCCTACCCACCTTCATGGGGATTTGCAAAACTTCTCAATACCCTTTTATTTATTCAGTTTTCATTAACTATTAGATTCGTGCAACCTTTGGTATAACATCTATATCTCATTTTTTGGATAGTATATGTAAATGGTATATATTTTATCATGTAAAATCCTTTGTATTGGATTTATAGGTTATTCCAAGTTCTTGCTTTACCATCAACATCGATTAAATCACCGATTTGGGTTATATTTTGTCTCGTTGTTCGAAGAAACTTCAAGGAAGCTTGAAGCATTTGGTATTGTGCTTGTGTTGTTTTTAATTCAATGAATTGGGCTGTGCACTTGCTTTTGTTTCTTGGAACGACACATCCTCCCAAATATACTCTTTGATAAGTAAAGCAAAAGATACCTTCAAATCTGTAAGAGAGAAAGATAGATAAAGTAGAGAGACTAATTAATCAACTATATTACCAATTGGGGTTGTTTGTTAAGATTATTTTCAGAAGACCAAATTGCCATGATCGGATCAACTAAAGCTTTTTCTTAGTGTTGTACTGGAAAGCAAAGGCTCTGTAGGGACTAATGGAAAGAGGTAATCAAAATGGCATTGAGTAAAATAATTTTATCAAACACTTGGATGGCTCCTAGAATTGAGGACAAAGCAGGCATTGGAAACCTGGTTTGTCTCCTAAATGGGCTTCTGAGGAGAGAGCGCTGGGCCCATTTCAACGTGTAATGCCTCAGGGACCACGCCACTCAGACTGCCTTTTGTCCCCACAAGCAACTCATTTGTTAAACCTTTTCCTTTGTTGATACTCTAATTATGTGATGTGGAGGTCCCCTTCATTTTTGTACGAGTGTTGAATGGTTTCGTTGACTAGGAGCCTACACTTTTGACCAACAATTATCCTGTGGCTTTTTGTTTTTTTTGGCAGATTAAGAAATTCTTCAATTTTAATATGTATGAATGTTTATAGTAGTTTAACTCAAAGGGATGGTCTCACAATTAAGGTGGTTTACTCGTTTTATTTGATTTGTTAGATTCAAATCTTAAAATTATTTATCACATTGTGATTTATCTAATTTTTTATCTTTATAGAATGTTCAATAAACTTTAAAGATTAATTGATATGTACGTAAATTGGTTTTGTAAACCCCGCGTGAAAAATATGTGTTGCGTTTGTATTTTGCTGCTCCAGGATTGTGTTCATATCGTTCTACTTTAGTCATATCGTATTGATACAGGATTGGGTTCATATCGTTCTACCATGTCCTATCGTGCTGCTACAGTTTACATCGTGTTGCATGATGTGGTTGGGTTATTATCGTGTACTACAATTCATATCATGTTGCGAAATGTGATCGAATTAAAATTGTCGTATCATACTCATACAAAAATGCAGTTGTTGGTAAACTTTTGTATGTATAGAACTTGAGAGTTTTGCTTTGTCCCTCCTCGAAAGAGGGACGAGCGGAACGGCTTCGGTATCCGTAAGCATTCCTCCGCCGGGCTCAGTTTGGGCTTTCCAGTCTCCTTCCCTTTAATTGCACGAGATAAGGAAAACGAGATCATCCTCTTTCTCTGGCCGAACAGCAAAATAAAAAAGAATTCGGCTATAAAAGCTGGGGCGATTTCTTCCTTTCCTGCTGGATTTTCGCGTAAATAGGATGCCCTTATCTTCCTCTTCCCTAAGAAGGAGCTACTAGAAAGCCTTTCTTTAAAAGAGAAAGAGGTGAGATCGTACAGTACTGAGATTGATTGGCTTTGCCGCCTTTATTCGCTTGCCCAACTTTATAATCTTTATATGCACAGTCGTAGTACTGGGTTAGATGCTTGGCTCCAGTCTTTAGATATTTGTCAATGAGATGGTAATTCTTTGATTAACAGAGCAAGAGAATGTGCTCTAGTAGAACTTTCGGATATGTCTACAGTTGCCGATGAGGTCTTTTTTGAGTCACTGGGCTTTGATCCATCGCCATTCTCTAAGCGGAGTCGTGCTTTGTTCATTGTAAATACTGAGTTTGAGGCAAAGCGGAAGAAGTTTGATTCGGATGTGATCTTGGAGAAGAAGAACGTCATCGTGGCAGAGGCAGTAACTCAGGCTAAATAACTTGAGAAGGCGTCGGAGGAAAGGGTAATGCTGCACCCATATCCTCTTTTCATCAACTTTCTTTTATAACCCCGACGTGATAACTCATAATTGATAAGCCGTAATTTATTAGGTGAGACTTAGGTGATATTCATTACGAGTTCTCACCTTATGATTATAAAAGAAAGTTTGTGAGAAGAGGTTGTGGGTATAGCATTTTCCTTAGAGGAAAAAATGAACTTGCTTGATGCATGCCACGCTGTACCCAAGGATCTGAAGACTGCCTACTCATCTTTTCAGGAGCAGATCACTGAGTCGGAAGGGAAGCTGTCGGGTTTGCGGAATTAAGCTTCATCTCGTATTCTTATGGAAAAACTGGATGAGTGTAATGACAAAGAGTTCGAGCTAGAGTTGCAGATTCCACCTGCTGCATAGGACATAGAAAGCTTGTTGATGAGGGTCCTTCCAGCCGAGCATGAGTATGAATGTGCAACAACTATTTCTTTTCTTCTCTTTATGTTTATAGGGAGAAGATTCTGTGGCTGCAAATGTCTGTCGAGGCAGTTGGGCTTTGAGCTTTCTTGCTTTGTCCGCTTTTGATCCTTGGACGTTTTCGTAGTTTTGATTTGATTTTCTTTATGCCGGATTGGACATGCCTATAAACTTGGTTTGGAACTATTATGTATGCATGAATTCTATGGTTTTCTTTTTCCTTTTACACTCTTGCTCAGGAGTTATATGCTTACACCCAGTAGGACATGGTTAATTTGCTCTTTCATCTTTGCTTACACCAAGTAGGACATGGTTTACACTTATGTTGACATACGACATAAATGATAAGTCTTAATGCTTCTGAACACTCATATTTTTCTCCTACAACCATCCCATCCATTACCCTAAAAGAGTTTACTCCTTTAATCCATCTTTTTAAAATCAACTGCGGAGGAATTTCATCTACTTCAAGTTTATTAAAAGTTCTCAAGAGATGTTTACATGGCGAACCTCTGAACTCAAAATGTTAGCATCCACAATACTCTTCTTGTGTTTCAATCTTCAACTTCAAGAGAAATTGCTCAGGTAAACCAACTTTAGCTGTAACTAAATAAGCAAAAAAATTCTCCATTGCTTTCTAACTCTTTTAGACTTGAAACAAATTGAATCAGCTAACTGTTCACGAAGTTTTTCAAAAATATTTCTTGTATAAATACTTGCCGCATGCCTCAGCATCAAATTATTTTCATCAATATCTCTATCCTTATGCTTAGATACTAGTCTTCATGGTTAATGGTTTTCTCTTTCAACTATCTTGTGCAGTGCTTGATCATACCGAACTACAAATTCCCTTAAGGGGCGTTTGGTTGGCGATAATGTGAGATAATGGAGGTTATGCCATCTTATATTATTTGATTACCACGTTTGGTTGTCAAGTAATATAAGATTCCGGTAATCTTCAAATACCAATAGTAGTTACTATTGCTAATATTGGAGATGATCTGATTACCTCTATTTTCTTAGGTATTTTAAGATTACCAGGGTTATCTTTTTTTGTTACAATTTTATTCCTTATTAATAAAAGTTTTGGACAATAGTGCCCTCATTTTAAAAATAAATTTACATTAATATTCTATTTCAATTTTACCCTTGTTTAATTAAAATTTTGGATAATAATGTCCTTATATTTAAAACAATTTATAGACCACCACTGCCACCCAGCCACCACCGCCGACAGCGGGCCAACCACCACGGACCGTCGCCAAAAATTCACCGGAGTCCCTAAAAAAGAACGAGATTCGGTGGGAGGCTTCGATATGGCCGTTTTTGACCATATTGACCATATTGATGGTCGAAAACAGCTAGATTTAACAACCAGATCTCGCCCAGATTTGGCCTGATATGGCCGTTTTCGGCCATCAATATGGCCAGAAACAGCCATATTGGAGCCATTTTGGTCACGGCGAGCTAGTGACGGGGACTTTCGGAGACTTCAGACGGTGGTTTGCGGTGGCGACAGCGGCGGCATGAGGTGGGGGTGATTTTGTAATAAATTAAAGTTTTATATAAGCGGGGGTGTTTTAACTAAATCTAAAATATTGGGGGTTAAAAGAAATTATTCAAAAATTAATAATAAAAATAATATTATATTAATATTTGAAAGGGGGACAATTTAGTAATTTAAATAATATACCTATCAATTTATTCCCCATAACCAAACATATTAATATAAAATATCCACTAACAAACCAAACATATTTTTCTAAAGATTCTTAGTAATCTTTTAAGGTAATCTATCTTTCCAGTAATCCAACATTCCTAATAATCTAACATTTCTAAACCAAACGCCCTCTAAAGATATTGATTTTGACTCAAATTCATTAAAGAACGCTTTGACACCTTCACTACGGCCTATTGTATTCATCTCGACATAAAATTGAATTCATCTCGACATAAAATGTACCCCGATGATATACTGGTGCTCAAGATTGTCGATTCTGATACAAGTGTTTAAGCCCTTCATTATCATTCAAATCAAAATCTACAATTAAAGCATTCCACATATCTTCAAAATCCTTCCGTGTAAGTATCATGAATGCATTTTTTCAACACACTTTTGAGTTTTGACTTTTTAAAGCAAACTAACACACTTTTGAGTTTTGACTTTTTAAAACAAACTAGACATGGCCTGCGTGTTGTACCGGTATGTTTATTCA